TATGCCATCAATTACCAAGTTCTACATCTTTCTTCCACCGAGAAAAAAGTTATGCACTAGAAAGATATGTGCCGAAATAAGCTTTCAAACACTTGTTCAGACAAACCTCATGCAAATAATATGGTTATTGCAGTCTAAGCATTACGCACTTTGCCCAATTTCCATATTAGCATGTTTTACGGCAAAAATGAAAAAACATAAACTTATTAGTTTTAATTTAGTTAACGATCTCAGTAGTCTTATAAAACCCTACATAGTTCCTACACATTTTAGGTTAAATATTCGACCTCCGCCTCTACTTATAAAAATCGAATTTTTTATACGTTCATTGAATGAGTGAGGAATGTAACTTAGCTATACTGCAGAAGTTTGCTTTTCATCTCAAAACAGCGAATTTCTCGCATGTTCTACATATTCCAACAAACTACACAACGATACGTGTTAATTAAATTGGTAAATTTTAAGACTTGGTATTAAAATTCGCTTGCTTAAGGGTGAAACAAATCAACTATTTAAGGACTGATCAGTTCTCTCAAATCGACAACAAAGTAGATGGTGATTTTGAAAAATTGCAGTAGAAGTATTCAGCAAAGTTTTGAACCCTTGAGTGTAGAAGCCGTTGTAGAAGAACTGAAAAAATCTCCCTCTAGCTTTTAGACAGAGTAAGCGGAAATGGAACCAATTGAAAAGCACAACAGAACAATTTACCCTCTACAAACTCATTCAAGACTGGCCAGGCTGTAAATGAATCCATAAACAGCTTTTGACCTCACATTGACGTTTATTATTTTAAAACCAAGTTAATCTGCGCCATCATTCTTTAAATAGTATCAGAATTAAACAACTAATCGTGAACTCATCTTAGAAGGAATTTAAAGTTTTCGACTATAGCTGGCATTTATAGTACTCAGTTTCGCTGTTACAGTGAAAAAGAAACCGAGCCACGAGAAAACAAATTTAAAATACCTCAGTAAAACGCGGAGTTCATCATCTTGATGAAGTAGTCATATATTTTTCTGTGCCCGAACTTTACAAACTATGCTTGCTTAAACTTCATATAAAGTATAAAATTATTTATACATCATTTTTTTATCTCTTAAGTGTTATTTGCTGCGGGAATTTTAAAAAAGTTTAGATGGCAGTATTACAGCTCTGCCTGCAAAAAAAAAAAAATCAAAATGCAAAATTACCAAAAATCTTCGTGAAATAATCAAATATTAATTCTAAGATGCAAATGCTTTGAATAAAGTGAGTCTTTAGCTGTATTACTGCTTTACAAGAATCAAACTAGACACCATGTGGTGTAATAAACCTGTATTTCGCTTTCATTACTGTATGCAAGTCAAATTCCGCTCTACTTCACAGTTACTACTTCTCTTCTAGCATTTTACTCTGCACAACTGATTCAATAAAACCAAGACGAATTTTTTGCTGGCCTTCTGATATTACTTCGGAAAATGATGGATAAATTTAATGGGTTTTGGCCATTGAAACTATTTCCAATTGGCAAATGGTTGCCTTCATATTTCGTAGACGTCTTATACTCTCATCCCATCAAAACTGAAGTTACGAAAAAAGGCCACCACTATAACTCTACTACGCAGTAAAGCAGATACGCCTAATCGAATCCGCAACCTGTCTCAGCTGCAAAAAACTGCAAAAAAGTCATTTAGTTCTCAGTTGACTTTTTCTCTACATAGGACGCGCAAAACACGAGTAGTTTTGCAGTCTTACAAAAATTGGTTCAATCTTAACCCTGAGTGTCTATCAACCCTGAGTGTCTATTAATAGCATATCATTTGCAACGGTGCCTATTTCTGAAGGCACGCTTACGAATAAGGAAAATTTAGGGCTCCCACTACCAAGGTAATATCAGTGCAAGCTCTGCTGAGCATGATTTATATACACAGTAGCTACCATAATTTTAGCAATAGTGGGGAAAAACGCTTTTTGACCTCAAGTAGCAGAACCGTGAAGAGCATGCTTTTGTCAGTAGTTGTACAACTTAAATATTTTCGTGAAAAATATCAAAATTAACGAAACTGACAGTTTCGTTAATTTTGATATTTTTCACAAAGGTAGAAAAACCTCGTACTTTGTCGTCTACTCTTCTTTGCTTGACTACCTTTCCAAACCCACTCCTTACCAAGCCCAGAGACCGCCTACATTTATTTTTTGTCAACTTACTTCATCGCTCACGAATTACCATTAAAAGTTCTTAAATATCCTCCTGTTTTTGGATTTAACGTAAAGGCGGAATTCTTCTCGTAACATTTCTGTTAGGTGGTAGTCTGAACTGCTGCAGCAGCTTAAAAACTTCAGCTTTGTTGTCGCTCACTCAACTGGTATTGTCGCGTCAAGCGAACGCTTTCAAGCCGGAGGGGCGGGTGGATAATTTCAGAACAAGCTCCCCAAGCTGGAAAGACGGAAAGAAGGCAAAGCCAAGCCGAAGCTCCTGCGGGGAAGCAGCGCATAATCCCAACAATAAAGCTATGGCAGAACCTGAACTGGCGGGGTTTGGACTAAGCGGGATTTCAACCCCGCCCAGAAGCAAATAACTATTTAACGTGATGAAGAAGGAGGAATGGGAACTTACCTCTGTTTTAATTCTGTTCGCATTTTTATGTTTTAATGTATTGAGCTTTTATACTAATTTGTCCGCCTTGGTTTATGATCTTATTGTGTGTTTTGCATATAACATTTTAACTTCGTACTTTGTTTTATGATCTCTGTTCTAAAAAAGGTTTAATTACCCAAGTTTGAGGTTTCGCTCTATTGTATCTGCTTCCTGAAATAAAGCTTCTAACTCTTAAGTCCCGCGTGGCAGCATGAAAAGAAAGGAAGATCAAGTGGTCCACAAGGACGAGAGAAGGTCCCTAACTATCAATTTATTTATAGGTAGTGAAAGCTGAAGTGTTTTTCAGTCGT